CACACACACACACACACACACACACACACACACACACACACACACACGTTTATTCATCTGTTCTTCTGGGGACCCTGATCCATGGAAACAGATAATGGCCACAGAGATTCAAATATTGTAAGAAACTGAACAAATACATGTAAAATTTAAGTACCACTAAATTCAAGGCACTGAAATATTTTGCTGTATTTCAGGGATATACTGTGTATTTTTAAAACCTTTCACTGATTTGATTGTTTAATGGAGTGAGTAGTGAGCCGATCAGATTCATTACCTGTGGATCCAGGTGTTTGCTGATGTGCTTCTCCAGGAATGGACGCCTGAGGACGGAGCTGACCGAGGGTCGGTCCCGGGGGTTGACCTGATAAACAATGTGAGTGTCTTTACGTGTGTGAGGATAATGAAAGTGAAGATGAACACTGAAGAGCAGCATCATTTGCAGAAGATTCTTTTATATCTATTAAATTAATTGATAATTATTTGTGCAGTCCAATAACAAAACTCATCGCAAGTGACAAAACATAGATTTCCAACAATGTCACTTACTTTCTCTACTCTAAATTCTGTTTAATCTGTTCCAAAGCTCCTGTAAACATCTGAAAGACAGCAGCAATAATTAACATTCCAAATGCTGCGGTATGTTTCATCTGCCTGAGTGTCTACAGTAGACAATGGAAGCTTCCTTATCTGCAGCTCAGGCTGATATCCTGAACAGCTGCTCAAACAGTTTCCTGCCTTTCTGACATTGACACTTTCTGTTTCAAATTAACTTGTTTTGCAGTTTGAACTCGGAGAGCTCAGCAGGCGATTAAAGGAAGAATATGTCTGGCAAATTGTGAAAATGTCAGAAGACCCTTTAGGTAAACCAGCAACTTTGGTATTCTGTATTGTTTTCATTTCAGTTTCCTTCCAGAATTTTGAATCACGTCACAATTGAATTGACTTGTTAAAATTTGTGTCATCAATGTTCAAGTCCAGGTTTAGCTACAAGTCCCGATCTGTTGTTTATGCAGACCTACTTATGGTTGATGCACCTCATATCCACACACTGTGAAGAGAATATATGACGAGTATCTCACCTTGAAGAGTTGGGTGACCAGCAGGCGGAGATCGTAGGAGTAGTGGCTCGGTACTGGGTTGTAGCTCCCTCTGCAAATTTTACCGACCAGCTGCCGCAGACTGCTGCCCTCAAACTGCAGGTGAAGACAGGTAGAAATATAATAATATAATATGTGTGTCAATACATATTAGTAACCACCAGTGACCAACATAAATAAAATGTCTATTGACAGGCCAAGTGTTTCTGTAACACAAAATAAAATTGTAATACAAATAGTGCAAAGAAATTCATATTGTATGGGTAGATATGTACATTATACGCATGTCTATATACAGTCTATACCGCATGTAGGATCTGTCGAGACAGTGACATTGTATGATGATAATACATGTTAAAAAAGAAAGTCGATGTTTAAGCGTGTGACAGATTGAAAGTGAGAGGTTTTGGCGCGTTAGTTTAAGTGTTGGTTGTATGAAACAAGCTATTTGAATACATCACCTCAAGAGTAGAGAGAAGCAGCAAAGGAGCCCGACTGGATTTGAACCAGTTACGTTGTGGTTTATGGTCAGCATCTTAACCAGCCATTTTTCACTAGTTCTTGACATTTTAAAGACTAAACAATCAATCAAATAGTGAAGAAAATGATTCGCTGATTGATATATATTGAAAATCATCGTTAGTTGCAGTGCTCATTTTGCTCTACAGTGTAAGTGCCGAGCTGTTTGTGTGGGTGTGTGTGGTGCAACTTACTGGATGCCTCAGGGTGCAGAGTTCATACAGGATGCAGCCCAGAGACCAGATATCCCTGCAGGGAGGATACACACACACACACACACACACTATGTGGCATTATGAAGGATATTAAATGCAATCTGACTTTAATTTAACAGGATTGTTATATCACCCCAGATGTGTTCCCAGCTCATGTTTTGAAACTTGACAGAATCAGGGAATGCATTTATGAAGTAACCATGATGCACCATTAGTGCGTCTTGTGTAACTTGACATATTTCGTGTTGAAACAGGATGCTGGGGCAGGGCCTGACATTATCCCCTATCCCCCTGAGCTAAAGTCATAAACACCAGAAAACAAAACCATCATGTAAAAATCCAGAACAGTGAAGTCTCCAATCAGAGCGAAGCCAACAGAAACTTCTAGTTAAACGGTTTTCAGTTCTGGAGTCATACGACAGCTTTTTTTCCTTTTTGGCAAGGAAGTAAGTATGTGCATGTGTGTGTGTGTGTGTGTGTGTGTGTGTGTGTGTGTGTGTGTGTGTGTGTGTGCGTGCTAGTTTGTGAGGTCCGACTATAGCTTTAGAACTTAAGGATGAGGCCAATATCAGGAATTAAGATCTCTTTGTCCAGTGAGTTTAGAATTAAGTTTAGGTGAAGGTTAGGGGCTCAGGCATGGATTATGTGAATGAGGGTCTCACAAGTTGAGCAATCCAAACATGTCTGTGTGAGCGTGGGAAAGAGGAAGTAACATTGACCTCAGTAGTATCAAAACAAGTTTACAGAGAAGAACCGTACAATGATCTGTCTAAATACACAGAAGAGAGGGTAAAGAATGATTGTCATTTTGCGTGTGTGTGAGTGTGTGTGTTTGCTGCACTTCTGAGTTTCCTGCTAGTGAGTATGTGTGTGTGTGTGTGTGTGTGTGTGTGTGTGTGCATGATGGTATGATGGTGAAATGAAACACCCATGAGTGAATGTGCTACAGTGCAACCAGATGGTAACAGAATGATTGCAGAAGTATTCACTTCTATCATCATTTTGCAAAAAACAACCACAACATCATAATTTTTATCACACTAAACACTAAAATAACTGTCACACTGCATGTGAACATGTTCGTGGTTTGTTTCAGCCAACAGCATAACGAGCATCAGAATGTTAATCAGTCAAAATGTATCTCCTCTTCGGTTCTTTAGATGACAATTTACAGGAAACTCCGTGAACCAGAAAAGATAGACTCCACCCAGCTGGGACTCAAAGTAGATGTAAACAAACGAGACACTGGACCATTTCCACACTACATACTGCATTAATAATATACAGTGTGAATTGTTATTTAATAATTATAAATGTTTATGAACTGCTTATAAATGGTGAATTGGTAAAAAAAAAAAACGTTTACAGTTTAAGTTTGTGGTGGTAAAGGTGGTGAACATGCTCGAGAAACATTTAAGGAAGCAAAAGAATTATGTATTCATTTCGGATCTTCACAAGATTTTTCTGTCCGAGTCCGGCCCTGATTTTTATTTTTATTGTGTGAACTACGAGCCACCATAGCTCATTACAGAATGTGAAAGCATGTGAAAGCATCCGTACGTACGTCTTGTTGTTGTAGGGTCGACTCTCGCAGATCTCCGGGGAGAGGTAGTACGGTGTCCCAACACAAGTCCTGGCCAGCTCCATAGTGCTGCACAGCCACAGGACACAAACACAACAGTCAGGGTTCATGGCAAAAAGTCACACAAAATTGTAAAATCACTCCTTCTATTCATACCAAATATTACATGACCCCTTCCTAACATGCTTGTAAAATCAGACTTTAAAAGCTTTGTGTGCAGAGCTAAACACGCTAAAAACATCAACCTGCAGCCCACTGAAACTGCTAATAGGTAAGAAAGAGACAAGCAAATAGAAATATGCTTATTGCTCTGCATTAGGACAGAACTCAAAAGGTCCGTTTAGGTTAAAGCTGCAGCTAGGTTAGCTCATTAGCCAACCTGCAGCCTGACTACAAACTGTCCAGTCAAGTTCTTCCACAACTGGGAACACAATTTGTTTCAGGAGTTGGCTTCATACCCGGAGAGTGAGTGGAAACAGGAAAGAGACAAGAGCAACATCATGATACGGAGTTGGAAGAATAAGGCTGGTGGTTCAATGGTGCAGTGGCCGTTCGCAGCTCATCCAAGCAATCTCCCAGTTCTATAGTTAAGGCCAGTGGTTCCCAACCTAGGGGGCGGGCACCTCCAAATGGTCACCAGATAAATCTGAGGGGCGTGAGTTAATTAGTGGGAGAGGAAAGAAGAAGAATCTAAGTTTCGATCCACAAATCTGTTTCCAGTTTCTAGGCTTTTCTCTCATCTTTGATTTGTTTGTGAAATATTCTTATTTGAACAGTTATTGTTCAGAGGAGAATCGTCTCTTTTGTGGAACTACAACAACTCAGATACATCTAAAACACAGCAACGGGCCCAAATTAGAAACTGCTTGCTTGTGTCGGGTTACAAGCAAAAACGGTTGTGAATCATCAGTCTAATCTCTATAAAATAATTTAAATAATACATATAAATATGTTCCCCCTTTTTTCCGTCCTGCAGGGCGACCATTATTTCCACAACATGTGTGTTTACATGTCCTGGTCGACAGTTTGTGGAATGATAATGACTTGTTTGGAGATCTTCCATGTGTTACAGAGAACTCAAAGACAAACAGCTGCACTGTGTATGTGTGTGTGTGTGTTTGTGCGCTTGTGTGTTTGTGCGTGTGTGTGTGTGTGAGTGTGAAGATGACACTGACTTACTTATTCAACATTCTTGCAATTCCAAAGTCCCCCAGCTTTGCTTTCATCCCTCCGTTGGTTAGGAAGATATTCTGGAGCAGAGGGAGAGCAGGAATGAAAGCATGCCTGTGTTCCAGCAGAGAAACAGTGACTGTGCATGTAAACGTGTGTGTATGTGTGTGTGTGTGTGTGTGTGTAAACAGATATGATTGATGAAAGATAGTGATGGTTGTGAACAGAGACGCAGCCTGTGGTCAGTTATTCTGGGAGTTGGCACACAGTGAGGTCTTTGTTCAGAACAAAGCTGAAGCTCTGGACAGTTCAGCCTCACAATCCTCTGAACTCTGTAATGATAATACTCGTTAATTAAAAAGTTCAACCTCAGGGTCTGTGGGTAATGTTGTTTACCATGTACAAGTTGTACTAGGAAATGCCTGATGTAGAGTCTGTGGGATACAAGGCTCAGTTAAAGTCATAGTCCACCCAAAAGTAGGCCACTGAGCTCTGAGGATCTCATAAAGAACCAGACCAAGTTTAACCTGAAAGTGTGTTTGTGTAATGGCTACCCATCAGCCCTCTGCTCACTCGACTCATGTCGAATATCATGAATGTGCTGCTTTTGGAAGTGAATGAAGCGTGATTGTGTGCAGCACTGCAGGCGGTCAGATACCTGAGCTTTGATGTCTCTGTGAAGGATCTTCCTGTCGTGGATGTGTTTGAGGCCGAGGCCGATCTGAACAAACCAGTCCACGACCTGAGGAACACACGGCTCAGTTTTAAGACCAAATTACTTCGTAATGACAGAAACATGGAGAGCATCCTCAGCCCTCCAGAGGCCACCTCACCTGCCCCTCAGTGAAGAAGACTCCTCTCTGCATGTTTATCTTCTTCATCAGATCTCCTCCGCCACAGTACTCCATCACTATGTACAGGCTGCCCCTCTCTATAAACACACACAGCAAACCTACAGTATATGTTGAGCACAAAGACACGACTACATGTTCTGTATAGAGTTTTACACTCACCTTGAAATGAACTGATGAAGGCCACGATGTTCGGGTGTTTCATCTTTGACAGCAACGTCACTTCTTTCTTGGACGATTCCTTTTCCCTCGCTGACATCTGAGCAGCGAACACACTTTTAATCCAACACTTTAACTTTCTACATGTGTAAATGAACACTAACCATTTTGTAACTATGCACCATTTCCTCTAAAATCTAATCTGAAATTAGACAAATTGTCTCATGAATGAGATTTTGAAGGGCTTCAATATTTAGTTGGTTTGAAGCAATCACTGCTTATTAACTCAGGAAACGTGGATACACCTTCCATGCAGTGTTATTTTTTAACCATACATTCTAAAAATAGTTTTATTCAGCAAGGCCCGTACAGTATCAGCTGTGGTTTTAAAACATGAGTGAGCTGCAGGTGGTTGGTGAGGAACCGTTTTACCTTTCTGAGGTTGATCTGTTTGACCACACACTGTCTGTCTCCAAGTCCCCCTTTGTCTCGAACCAGGAAGGCTTTACCAAACGCACCCTCTCCAATCTGACGGATGACCTCATAGTTGTTCATGACACCTGCAACAAGAAATAACAATAAAGTTTCTTCACCGAAATGTGAGAAGAGAAAATTATTTTATTTGAGGAGCTCGAACCATCAAATATTTTCGCATTTTTGCTTAAAAAAGAAATGATCATTCATCAATAAATTAACAAATGTATCAAATTATTTGCAATATTTTCTTTTGATCGACTAATCAGTTAATTGACGTATTGTTGCAGCTCTAACAGGTTTTATGATGCTTTGTGTGCAGCATTTTATGTTGTAGTGACATATACTCTTGATTAGTTTAATCTCCAACAGCAGTACATCATTATTTAATAAGCTAATAATTTATTTTGTATGTGAAATATAAATATAGCAGCTACAACTGTTAAATAAATGTAGTGAAGTAAAACGTACAGTGTTTGCCTCAAAATGTAGTAGAGTTGAAGTATAAAGTTGCATAAAAAATAAGAATACACAGGTAAAGTACATTGTACTAAAATATTGTACTTGAGTATATGTAGTTACTTTCCACCAATGTGATTAATCAATACAGATACTATTCCTGAAATTACAGTCGTCTGTATTATCTGCTAAATTGTAGCTAATTTAACGTAAACAACAAAATGTTCCCAGCGTTCACAGCGACAACTTCCGGCGGAAGGAGCCCGTTGCCGTGGAGACAGATACACGGGGCTACTAACTTAGCTTCCATGCTAACACAAGTTGAGTTTCGGCAATAAAAAGCTGTTTTTCTCTTTTAGTGGCAGATAACAACATATCTTCTTACCCTCTACAGAGTTGTCTTGTTCTCAGAAGTCACATAGTGAAATGAAAAGCGGTGGCAACGAGTTTAAACTAATGAGACGTTGAAGTGTCTACGGTCTGAATACTGTAAAAATACGTCAAATACGACAAGTGCAAGGGGGAAAACACATGGTATGCTGGGAGTTGTAGTCGTAGTAGTTTTCTTTGCTCAGTCCGACAAAACGCATCTTTCTTCCAGCATATTGATGAAATAAACATGAATTTAGTCAGTTTATGACAACAAGACACCCTAAAGAACTCAACTGCCAGTTTACATAAACTTTATTGTTGTATAATTTCAATAGTAGTCCTATTAATCTGAATTTGTTACAAGATCTGAAACAATTGACTAGTTAGTTGATTCCAAGAAAATGTAATTGTTTCACGGAGTTCCTCAAATTTCAGATTTATTTTCCATTTTTCTGATTCTTTTTTAAGTTTGTGCTGAATTACCTGAATTACCCTTTGAATTCATATTACAACATTTAACATTTACTATGAAAGCCCCCCAAAAAACCACCCACAATCAATGTGGGTTTGCAGAAAGATTTATTGAGATTCATAACAGTGTGATGGCACTTTTATTTATATATTATGCATTCATCTCACACCTGTCCACTCTGTCATCAGAACCAGAGGCTTCACTGTGACTGCAAAGACAAGATCCTGATTTAAATCCTCAGTTTGGCAGCAGAGGTTTGGTGCTTTATTCACAGGTACAGATCATGTTGCCGTTGTCACATTTTAGCCATCACACCCCAGAATGATATGCCAGGAATCCATCATGTGTGTGTGTGTGTGTGTGCACGTGTGAAGTTATTCATAGTGTACTGTATGTTACTCTATCTGAAAGAGTGGTGGAAATGTAGTGTAAGCATCTTCAACTGAATATTTGCCTTATTAATACATTAATACAATTTTAGTCGTGCTAAGCTCGGCTAACTATCTTGATCCCATATCTGCACTGAACATACAGACGTGAAACTGATATTCCTCTCACCTGATAGTGGGGGACAGAGAATTAACAAAGCAATATTTAACAGTCTGTCTTTAGCTCCCAGCTCTTAGCTTTTCAATTATCAGCTTCATTTATCCTCCCACTGCAAAAACAGACACACAACTGTCCATCTATGTTTAAATAAATGGTATTGCAATCAGATAAGCCAAAAGTAATTTGTAAACTAGGTGCTTTTTTGAAGAATGTCCTTTGTTTCAGTAATATTTGTTGTACTTCAGTGATGTGATGTGCCATTGTTTTGTTATTCTTGTATGTTGTTTTTGCTCCATACCTGTGATCATAGTGCCCGAGAAATTAAATTAAAATGTATTTTCCAAATCTATTTCTGTAAAGCTTTGTAGTTGTTTTGAAAGACGTGATAAAACTGAAGTTTAGTTCAATAACAGTTATTAACTTCTGTCGTTACATGATCACTTTGAACAACCTCCTCTCTGATCCGTCAAGGTGACACGCCACCTCTAACCACCTGGCTCGTTTCCCATGATGCCCCTGGGCGAGGTCCCTCTGATTAGTGCTGTAATCAAGAACACATTTCCACTGTGATCGAATGACACGCAGGTGCTCGGCCTGCTGTGACAGCTGATCTGGGGTCAGTCCTCCGAGGTGACGGCGACAGACACAAGTCACATGATGACACAGCAGATTCGTACAAATAAACATGTCAACTAGTACACAGCGATATTCATCCTCTATGATAATACTATAAACAATGTGTACTAATCAGTGGTGGAATAAGTACAAGTAAAAGGCCTGCTTTCAAAATCATGCTTAAGTACGTATCAGCGAAATAAGTCATTCTGTAAAATGTCTCCTGTGACATGAGATTGTTTCCATTTTACTTTTGTAGCTGCTCAAGGTGGAGCTACTTTTAAGTACTTTACATACATGCTAGATTAGTCCAGTGGTTCCCAACCGAGGGGTCAGGCCCCATCTAGTTTCAGCTCATAGACGTTTCTCTCATATTTGATTTTAATTGAAATATTGATAATTTGAACATCAACTGAAATGAAACCATGCGAGACATTTAGAGGGGAAATGTCTCTTTGGTGGAATTGATGAAGACTCAGACGTGAAACATGACAAGAGACAACTACACACAAACCCCTCTTTAACAATGCATTATATTTTATACTCTTATCATATTATGTAAAATCCAGAGTAACTAGTGCCGTCAGATAAATATAGTGAAGAAAAGAGGAAATATAAAGTAGAAGTTAACATTAAATTAAAATTCTGATATTAAAAAACACCAACAATAGTTCGGTTTGATACATTTCGGTGTTCGCTAAAAACGTTCCTTTATGCGGAGGATACCGGCAGCTTAACGACGTCTCAAAGGAACGAAAACACACGAGAGCACCAGGTTTGTTTTTCTATTTTCTTTATTGTGTTGGTCTGTTCGTAACTTTAAAGAGAGTATATACACAAATTAGTACAACAAGTAGAGTTATCCAAAAGACAAATTACACATTCAAAAAAAAGACAGACAACCCTTGAGAAAACAGATTTCAACATAAGCGTGTGTCTAAACGCCCTGCTGTGAATTATATTTTCTCATTTCTATTCAATGCAAACTCATAATCGAAGCTTAAAAAGAGAAGCACGTATTCACACTCGTATTTTAAGATCATTTTCCAGTTAAGGAAGAACAGGTGCAGTGTATTAATAGCTACAGCAGACAAAATACAAAAAACAAAAAAAGTCTCCCTGGACTGATTCTGCTTCAACAACCAGGATGAGTGGTATAAAAGTCACCTTTCTCTTGAAACTCAATATGTTTGTACTGAAAAGACGGCAAACTACATTTACCCTCGTCTACTGAAATACGTGTTCATGCTAATAATTGCATTTATTTTGATTAAAATAATTTACTATTTCATAATCAGATGACTTTTAACTAGTTATTTATGAAAACATTCCAAGAAGATCCCCGTACAGAAAAGTGGAAAAATACACAACTCTTTGCCTTTTTTTGTTTTGTTTGTTTTAAATCACAATCAATGAATAGCTTTACCAAACAGCTTCACATTTCACTCTTCTCAACCAGTCAAACTACCTGAAGTAAAGGACAGAAGAAAAAAAGATGGGTTTTAAAAAAAACAAACAGATCTCACTGCACACCAGTGACTTTAAGAGCAGCTGTGAGGCGACGAGGACTCTTAAGGCTCACAGATCAGAGTTTCCACCACAAACTTGTTCTCGAAGTGACGAATCTTGTGGCAGTTCAGAGCTTCACGCTTCTGCATACCTGTAAGTCAAACAGAGGGATTTAGTGTACCGCTGAGGTCCCTAGTTAGATTCCCTGTGAAGCGCCACGGACAGCGAAGATTAAACTCAGCTTAAAGTATCAAGGTGTGTTCAGACTGTCGTTGTAGGTGCTACGAATTAGGCTTGCAAAGGCACGGGAAACTTCCTGAAATTTGGCCGGATGGATGGCTGGTATCCTTGCATTTGTTTTCTCCGCTTTACTGAACCCACACCTAACTGACTGTGAATACGGGGTATGAACTGAACCATGACTTCCGTGTACCGTTACATCCGTAGCCACACGTGATCTTTAAGCAACACACGGTGAACCAAATTCCTCTTTAATGCGTCACTATCTTGTCATTGTCTCGTCCATTTCCGTTGATAAGTCTTTTAGATTTGTTTACACTGTCAACAGGGTGAAACTCATTTCTGTTTCCTGATTTCTTCTATGGGAACTGTGGAACTGATCCCCTGTGGATACATACAATAAACCCTGTGATATGTACAAGTATCACAGAAACACACATGGCCACAAGCCTGAACGACACCAGAGTATGTTTGCGGGAGAAGCTAAATTTGTTAACTGTTACACTTAAAATTAAAAGTCATTTTCATAAACTTAAATATATAAAAAGGCCTGAATGCCTTTCTATTCCTACCCAGAATCCTGTCTCTGCGCTGCAGCTTGAAGGTGTCTTTGCCGCGGCAGAGGTTGTAGATGAAGTAGCCGAGCTGGTCGACGTGCTCCAGGCGCTCTGTCACAATCATCTCCTCGTGGAGCAGGTAAGACTGAGGCAGGTAGGTGCCGGCCTGGCCAGGGAGAGGACAAATAATAATGATTACATAATATCCACTAACACCTGCCAACCCTTAAATATACATTCTAAAAAGACTGGAAACAGGGAAACAGCGAGCCTGGCTCTGTCCAAAGGTATTGATCTCCTCATTTAACGCTGTCCTCAGTCACCTTGACGTTGCTGAGCAGCTCCATTAAGTCTCTGGGGGGCATGACAATGGAGGTGTTGAGCGGGATGACGTAGCACTTGTTCAGACTCAGATCAAGATAGGCGGTCAACCTCTGAAAACCAAGACAAACAGTTACAAACCAAGAAAACTAGTATTTATAAAAGCAGTATTTTATTTACCTCAATGGCCCTTCGATTTTTAATACAATGCAAGACACTTCCAGCTAATTTTTCACATTAAAAGTCTTCCAGCCTGCTCGTTATTGGTGGGTTTTTAATGTGAAAATCCACAGGAAGTGTTTCATTGACAGCTGCAATTATTTGAATACTGTGTTCTTTATGTGAAGTCTTACGAATGTAACTAATCTCTCATACGGCACCTTGTTACATTAACATTACAATATAATTTACATGACATCTGGTCTTCTGATGATCAATTAGTACATCAACAGAAATCATAATTCGCTATCAATCTTTGGAGTCGTTCGTGCTTCTAACAGGAAGCAGCAGAGCATCTGGAGTCTCACCCGCTGGAAGTCGTGCACGATGTCGGCCGGGTCTCCGTCACCGAACTCGGGGACGGGGACGCTGATGAGCTCCACC